TTATACTGTGGTCGCTACTGCTCATCCTCAATGTTTGCTCCACCTTTCTTTTTACGTCATGGTTAGAGCGTGGAGCGGACGGAGCGGACCACGAAGCTGATTGAGGTTGAGCGGCTGATATTCCCGAATCGAGTGTCGAGTATTTCGAAGCGTGCCGCGATGTAGCCCCGTGCGGCAAGTCCAGGTGAACAGATTTACTGATTTCGATCGCTCGCGGCCTTCTTCGGCGCGATCATCCACGTAATTGCGGATTATGCGTGTATCTTACACGTTTATACACGCGTCGCAGTAGCGCCGGGAAGCCGCAATCCGTTCTTATCCGCTCTTGTTATATGAATTCGTCCACGAGGCGCGACGCTAAAATTATATACACGCGAGTTTAAGATTGAGATTTTCCTCCTCTTTTGCAGATCACTCCATTTGACTTTCAACTCTGTGATCTGCATACGATGGGCGAATAGCGACGTGGCAAGATGTCTCAGGTTGAACCGTGCAAGGTCCGGCAACAAAATGAACTGGAGGTCTTGAAGGTATTGCGATGCGCTACGGAAAAGGCTAATGCCAGAGGACGATCCGTAAACACTCAAGACTGTTTTAGTCATAAAGAGAACAACATTTTTCGCCTTGCCTTATGTCGATGACTAACGCCCACTTTTATCAGTGCAGATTAACTTTAATCTCGGCCTAACTTACGGTTTATCTTTTTCTAATTCTTAGATAGTAGGACTAGACAAAGGCGAAAAGTTCTATCAAGATTGAATTCGATCTGCACTGGTAGAAATGAACACGAGACTGAGTAAGGTCCGGTTTCACCAAACGTTGCCTAACTTTCATCTTACTTTAATTCATGTTTGTGCCTTTTTAAAGTAACAGTTGAGAAAAACAGAACAAATTAAGCTAAGCTTAAAGCTAAGCAAAGTTGGTGAAACCAAACTTAAGAGCTTAAGCAGAAAGATTGTCGTAAACATTTACGATTGTCTTACAGTTCTCTTAGTTAGACACACATGTGTCTAATGTTGTTACCTCACTCAACGATCCTATTTTGTCGTTTGCAACAGTCCATTTTTGGAGACGAGTTACGTGACTTGAGGAAGAACAGAAACAAGAAGAGATGGCAGTCGCTGGATATCGTTATTACCTTGACGCCGCAGAAGGGCATGTCTGGGCCGGCGGAAGTCTATGCGCAGACAGATTTACACATTGTGTGCTGCGACAAATATCCCGACAAGTAAGTCAGGCTACTTTGCGTCCTCTTCGTTTTATGGCATCCTACATTGTACGATTTACTTGTCACCAGTGCACCGACCATTCAGCTGCAAGACAGCAGAGGGTTATCTCATCAGCAGGTGGCGGTGTTGTCGTCGGAGCTGGAGAACCTGGCGCAGGAGAAGATAGGCGAAGTTATGATTTTAGACTTCTGCGAGCACGTACGAATGTACCTGCACAAGCATAACAAACCGGGTTACAGCAGCTTCTACGAGGAGATGGTTTCGCGGAATCAGGAGAAGATACAGTGCGAGATGCAGGAGAAGCAGATGAAGGAGGACAAGGAGAGACAGGTGCGACTTGACACATTTTGTGCCGCGATATCTTGACCGCGCGTCGTGTTCAGTTTTTATTATCGTGGATACTTTGCCAGGTTCTGCAGGATGCCATACAGAAGCGCCAGGCGGCCCTGAAGGCTGAGATGCGCAATCGAAAGGAGACTGTTCGACTCGCTATGGATTCCGATGCTGTCTCTCGGTCCATACCGTCGTCTCCGCACGAGCGAGGGACGAGCCGCTTCAGACGTCGATGCGCCAGCACGTCGGAGAGCTCCGAAGGGTCGCTGTGCGAGCACAGAGGCATCAAGTCCATCGACTTCGACAGCAACAAGGGCGAGAGGCAGGTGCACCGGGGGAAATGCCTGGGACACAGCGCGAAGGGCTCCGTGGTGTACGCCGGCGTGGACACGATCACCGGAGAACTGCTGGCCATCACGGAGTGGACGTTGAAATACGCGATGGCGAACGGCGGCTGCTCCGCTTACGAGAGCGTCGACGTGCATCACACCGTCAAGCAGATCGCCAGTCTGGAGCAGGAGTTGAATCACCTGTACAAGCTGTATCATCCGAATCTCGTGCACTACTTGAATATGAAGTACACGAGGAACAGCGATAGCGTGGTGATTTACGTGCTTCAAGAGTTCGTTGTATGTAAATATGCGTGCACGTTATTTCCTTGGAATAGTAATATTTCGCGTAGCTGAAAATTGTCTTCACGTTTACGATATCTGACGTATGTAAAAGTAGGTTGGCACCACGTGCTCGTTCTTCCTGATGGAAAACATTCCGGTCGACGTCGACATGCTGAGGCATCTGGCGACGGGTGTCCTCGAGGCGTTGCGATACCTCCACGAGAATAATGTGGTGCACAAAGACTTGCGCGACACCAGCATTTACATAGACCACGCGGGTGTTGTGAAACTATCCGACTACTCCTTAGACAAGAGACTGACGGACATGTATCGTTCGAATTCCTTGGCAAAGGCCGAGCACGATTTTCCGACGGTTCAAGGCCGAGGTGGTAAAAAGGCGGACATATACAGATTCGGGATATTGTTGCTTTCGCTACTGAAAGGAACTATCATATCTGGCGAGGAAATCGATCTAGTAACAATTCCACAGGTAGATCTTTGTGTAGCGTAGATGTCCTTGAATATTTTGAATATTGTTCCGTGATCCTGAATTAAGTAATTTGCTTTAGCTTCATCTGAGGGACTTCATTTCAAAGTGTCTCATCGACGACGAGAGAATGCGTTGGTCCGCGGAGCAATTGCAGCAACATGGCTTTATAAAAATACCATTGGAACGAGGTGTATTGCCCTCTAAACCGAATCACGACGAGAAGGAGAAGAATTTGGAGCCGGAAGAACCGGATATCGATATTCAGTTGCATTTGCTGGCGCTGGGTAGGCAGTCGCGAATACAGAACGAATTCGAGGTCTTGAAGTGGCTGGGAAAGGGGGCCTTCGGCGACGTTCTGAAAGTGAGAAATAAATTAGACGGCGGTATCTACGCTATCAAACGTATAGAATTGAATCCAAAGAAGAAGCAGCTGAACAAGAAGATTACGCGCGAAGTGAAATTGCTCTCACGAATGAATCACGAGAACGTAGTGCGATATTACAATTCGTGGATCGAAAGTGCTACCCTGGACGACTCGGTTAGTCACAGTCGGTTCACGCCGATCACCACGTCTTCAGATAGAGCCACCACACAGGACAAAGCTGAAATAGTAAATATATTATTCGCGATAACGTCGCTTGTAACAGAAAGAGCTGTAATAATATTCTATATATTTTATAGTTTGAACTAAAGGACCACGCACACAAACATTGGAAATCTGGGCACCGGTCAAATTTCTCCAAACTTTAGAATTTTTTAGCTTATGACCCCCCGATCAAAAGTCCTTATGGGTCCGAACCTCCAGGAAGTTATGGAAAAGAGTTATGGGGTATGGAAGTCGACGGAATATAAGTAATCGAGTATATGTACACGTTTTTACCCTTGAAATGTCTCGAATTCGAGGGGATCTATTAAGATAACTAATGGGACAAAACTTCTTGAACTTGGAGAGGACTATCTGATAGTCTCCAATAATAGTCTTGATAAATAATAACGAAAATTCTGGAAACATGATGGAAGAGATACTCAAGTAAGTTGATGGATAAAATAGTTCTAAAAAGAACTGTTTGTGAATAATTGGGAAACGAAAATCTCTTACTTTAATGAAAATCTTACTAAGAATTTAGGAACAAATTGATTGCAAATGATCAGAGATCTACAATCTGATTCCCAGCGGTTATTGGGTTCCAAGAGGGAAACGAGCATCTACCTCGTTGGGACCTATTTTTATTGGATCTTTACTGTTGAACATCTCTTGGGCCTTAATGATATTCGGTGGGGCCTCGACCCATTTCTTTAACCACACCGGATCTTACCTTAACCGGTCAGGTCCACACCGGATCTTGCCTTAATTACCAATTAAGACAAGATTATTTGGTCGGGTCGGTTATGAAATGTTAGTATCATATCTGAATATATTCCTAGTCACAGAATCTAATTCTGCGATGAATCCAGGTTTCCATCATAAAAACCTGGCTCGGTCCTTACTGGACCCTACCGGACCCTAGTTAGACTTTATAGCCAAGATTGGGCCAGACTATCAGATAGTCCTCTCCAAGTTCAAGAAGTTTTGTCCCATTAGTTATCTTAATAGATCCCCTCGAATTCGAGACATTTCAAGGGTAAAAACGTGTACTATACACGATTACTTATGTTCCGTCGACTTCCATACCCTATAACTCTTTTCCATGACTTCCTGGAGGTTCGGACCCATAAGGACTTTTCATCGGGGGGTCATAAGCTAAAAAATCCCAAAGTTTGGAGAAATTTGACCGGTGCCCAGATTTCCAATGTTTGTGTGCGTGGTCCTTTAAATACAGGGTGTCGGATTCGATTTGGACGACTCCGAAGATTATAGTAGATTGGGTCAAACTGAGAAGAAAAGTCTGACATGCAAAATGGTGTATTATTCTCCTACCACCAGAAAAACTTTTTCGGCGCGGTGTCATATGTCGCTCACCGCTGCCCGCTCGCCGCCGTCTCTCATCGATCGATGCGTGACTCCACCTCTCGCTATCGGATCTTGAGAGATGTCAACAAATACACCATTTTGCATGTCTGCCGAGTCCGGCCTTCCGCTCCTCCGTGCACTTATTGGCTCAGACGTTTTTCTTAATTACGCGATAATAATTACGGATTTTGTAAAATGGTATATAACTTTTCTTCTCAG